TTATTCTGGATAAGGCTATTCTTGTTCTGGATAGCATTAATCTTATCCAGGTTTGGTAGGTTATTGCCTATAAATAGAGTGTTTCAGATAGAGAAAAATGTAATTCAAGAGCACCAAGAGATTTCTCTTTGTAATAGATAGATTCAAAATCATATGAGAGTCGATTAGGGTTTCTTGAGAGTTGATTAGGGTTTCTTGAGAGTTTGTAATCTTTATTTTCAATAATAGAAAAGCAGCCGCTATTTCTCTGTTTAATCTTCTTGCTTACTTACTCTTTCGATCTTCGAGTGTAAATCGTTCTACTATCAGATCTGGGCTCCCAACATTAACCCAAACCAAAATGCAACCCACCCCAACCCAAACCGTACGGGTTGGTCGGATTGATACTTTGATAAATTAAAATATTCTCTAACCTTGAATATGCTATTTGTCTACTCATAATTTTTTTAATCATCAACCATTCGATACAACTTATTTATATTTCTTACGTACATTACATTCAGTTAATTTTCTCAATTTACATATATATATTCACAGTTACTTAACATATATACAAATGAGTTGTATAAAGATGTGAATAGATTGAAAATACATGTATATGAGGAGCGTACGTGATAATCTAACGTATATTAATAGAAATTCAACAATCATATTAAATCCAATAAATAAAATGATATCGGATTCATCGGGTTAGGTTCAAACAATAGTAACCCAATATCAACTCAATACCTAACGACTTGAAAAAATTTACAACTCGATTACACATCGGATTGCTTCGGATTGAGTTATTTCACGTTGGGTTGAGTTAGATTGATCGGATTTTTTAACACCTCTAGTTGAAGGTCCCTTCTTAACACTTCTCACCTTAACTTTCATTCTCGTTGAAACCCAACCATATAATATAATTATTAGGATCTGAGTATATGTATTAAAAACACATTTTAATTACAAAAATTGATGTCACCATACTCATATACTCATACGAGTAGTAGTATAAGATCCGTACACCCGACCCGATAATCACATAACCAAACACCCGTTTGGATTTTCGTCACTAAACATCTCAAACGAATCCAACGGCGGCTGATCACTATACGAATCAAAATCCGACGGTTGATGATGTGCTTGTGGTTCCATCTCTGAACGATAATGCGAATAGGCATACGATTGGGGTGGTGGGGTTGCATAATACGACGCCGTATAGCTGTTTATCGGAGGATGAGCCGCGTTGTAGCTGACCGTGTACACTGGAGGCGGAGGCGGCGGCGGCGTGTAATAATAAGGTGGCGGGTATTGATGTCGTGGAGGGCTTTGATTGGACGCTGTTACCGGTGGCCTACCACCATCATTACCGGATCCTCCAAAAACTGGTGGTGATGATGTTTCTCCAATACCATTTTCATAACTATTTTCAGCTTTCTTTTTCTTTTTCTTTTTCTTTCTCCCTTCACCGCCACCAGCGCCGCCACCATCGGTTTGGTCGGTTTGCTCTTCCTTCTTCTCAACCACCGGCTGAGAAGCTTGGTTACCCGCCGATCCGGTCTCCGGTTTCTTCTCTTCAACTGTAACCTCTATGGCCACCTTTCCGTCTCCACCTGTAACTTCACTTTTACCAACACCTTCATCAACCTTCCCACCACCCTTTCCACCGTCACCTGCCGTAACGCAGCCGCCAGAAACCGTGGTACTGCTAGCTTTTGACGGATCTGCAACTGGGATTTCCGTTCTAATCGCCGGTGACTTGATATCTTTCCTAGAGACGACAGATTCTTCACCATGACTGCTGGTGGGTGGTTTTTGAGTTTTCTGATTAGGAATCTCAGGTGGATTTTCCGGCCATAACTCCGCATGTTTCCCTGCTTTTACCAGTTTTCTGATTAAACTTTCCGGCGACACATCCCCAGTTACCACAACTCTCTGTAGCTTGGTTTCAATATCTATCTCATGAACTCCTGAAATCACAAAATATTAATTGCAAATACAAACCCATGATTCTCTAAAAATATAAATATTAATGACAACAAAGCCATAGTCTGTATGTACCTGGAAGAGATTGAAGAAGTTTCTTGACTTTGCGTTTGCAGCCTTCACAGTGTATGGAAACTCTTAAAACCCATCTCTAAAAACACGAATAAGACCAGAAATGGAGGTCAGTAAATGATCTAAGAAACATATATGAACCAAAAAGAGATGGATGATGATAACATGTTACCTTCTTGGATTCCAGTGGTTGTGATGGTTCTTCTACTTCAGTTGAAGCCATTTGTGTGTGTGTGTGAGAGAGAGAGAGAGAGAGAGAGAGAGAGAGAGATATGATGATGATGAGGAAAGGCAGAAGAATGATGATGATGCAAAGCATTTAAAGTACTTCAAAAGGAGGGTGACTGGACAAGCACTAGCTTACGTGGCAGGCTCTTATTGTGTTTCCTTCCTTTAGTTTTGACAGGTATCCTTTTTCAGTAAATTATGCAATTTGATCCCTATCGATATATTGAAGTTTAATTACACCCCTTCCTACTTATTGTGTGTCAATTATCAAACTCAATAATTAAACTACCATCCAAATTTATTTGTATTTTAACTAATAGAAATCACGAAAATAATCAAAACATACTAATGTGTTAATAAAATAGTTATTTTTTATAAGTTTTATCAAAATGATTATATGGATCGCATCCAGGGAACATGTTGACCATACAGGGATGATTTGATCAAAAAAGTATCAAAATGGGGGTCACATATATCTGATTTGGAGAACAAAATATTTGATTTTTACCTACCTCTGGATCACCCCCGGGGGAGATCCTACTTACACCCTTGACTTCTATTTTATTTTTTAGTGAGGAAATCGATTTGACAATTAAATGGTGTTTTTCAATAAACGGTGGATGATTTTGACTGTTTTAGTACTAAGTGTTGTGGTTTTACTCTATAAAATTAAACACTTCTATTTTCATAACCCGTAACTTTTAAACACAATCTACCATCACAACCCTTAACACAATATGAAATCTCGTCAAACTTTATTGGTTTGATATTGCTTATCTGGTTTCTAGAACTAGACCTTTTTTAAGTGTCATTCCTAAACATTTTCTTGGAAGACACTTATTTTATTCGTTTCTTGGGGTATGCCCCTCGTAGCTTGTATTGTTTTAATTTTTGAAATGGGCTTGTTGGCTTGATATTGCTTGTCTGGTTTCAAGAACTAAACCTTTTTTAAGTGTCCTTCCTAAACATTTTCTTGGAAGGCACTTGGTTTATTCGTTTCTTGGGGTATGCCCCTCGTAGCTTGTATTGTTTTAGTTTTTGAATAAATTTTTCCGGGGGTTCCGTCCCCTTTACCCCCAAAAAAAAACTTTATAATTTTTACTACTTTTTTTAAACATATAAATGAACCAATAAATGTTTTTATATTTTCTTATAAGAATTGTAATTTTTATAACCCCTGAATGTTAATATTTTTTTAATATTTGTTGATACGAAAAAAGTATTTGTATCTGATTTGGGGGACAAAAATCATATACTATATCTAAAAAATATCATATTTTTATAACCACATACTTTGACCGCTATTGTCATTTAGTGCCTTACGATTTGACCTACAATTTGACGGTCTATTTTGTCTTATTATGTAACGGTTTATATAAATAGGCGGTCGAATGGGACCATTATCATCATCCTCACCGAGCATATGGAAACACACCCCCTTTCGGCATTCCGATCCCCCTCGACCATCGATCATCGATCACCGTTGACCACCTATCATCGACCATCGACCACCGAGCACCGACGACCACCGATCACCGTCTACCGACATCCACCACCGTTTGCCGCCACCTACCGGCTACCACCGTCCATCTCCGCTACCTACCACCATTCGTCGCCACTGACCACCATCTGCCGCCACCTACCGGCTACCACCGTCCATCTCCGCAATCTACCACCGTCTGCCGCCATCGACCACCGTGGAACAACCACCTACCACCATGGAACAACCGGTAAAAATTCGCAATATTTTTAATTTAACTTAAAAGTCTATTTTTATCTAGTATCTAGCTTAATACTCCATGTCTTAATTTTTCTTAGATTAATTTTGTATGATATCAAACATTTAATTTTTGAATTAATTTTTTGACAGGTGTTATACCAGTCGTTACTGACATTGAAGGCCCAAACATCAATAATAATAAAAAATTATATATTATCAACTAATCAAAGGAGGTTAAACATATTAAGAGATACATGTTTCAACTCATGCTTAGAACTATGTAACCACTATTCAGATTTCTTCTTAATTAATTGGATGGTGCAATGTAAGGACTCATCTTTCTCTTCTCAATCTGAAGAAATATATTATCTTGTTGGATGGTTCCATTTACGGTTCAGCAGACATGAGTTCTGTTTGATCAAGAGTTTCCGATTTGGGCTGTATCTTCGTCGGTCACATTGTATCATCCCATTATTATTACAAGATTGTTTGATAAAATGACCAAACATGATAATATTAAAGTCGAACATTTTAGAAAATAAATTAATCGATTTAAATAATAGAGATATATCAGACGGTGATGCGGTGCGTTTCTGCCTCGTAATCATGCTTCATACAGTATTCCTTGGACGAAAAAATAACCACAATATCTAACACTGGATTTTGCATCTGGTTGAAATTTTAGATGTCTGGAACCAATACCCATGGGGCTCGTATATATGGCGTATGACATATCAACAGTTGAAAAATGTTTTCGAGTGCCGCAGACACAAAAATTGGCCGCCGAATAAATACATTATGTGGTTTTATATAGGGCAAAATGCACAAAATAACAATCTACTTTCATAAATTTCTTTATTATAGCATTGTACTTCCTAGTTTTTCTTATTACAACAATGTACTTTCAAACTATTTTTTGTTAGAGCATTGTACTTTGAAAAATTTACACATTATAGCATTGGGTAACCTTTTGATTTAAATTTACCCATTATACCAGGTTTCCATGCCACCTCATTGTCCATATATGTTGTCCACATGTACGATCGTGATGTGACTTTCTTATTACATCATTGTACTTTCAAAATTATTTTATTATAACATCTACTAGTTCTTATTTAAACACTGTATTATTAATTTTAATATTTAGATATTTTACATGTTATTTAATAAATATATTAAATGAATTAAAAAAATTAAATTATTCATTAATATACCAATATCAATAAAACTAGTAGAACACAACTTATCTCGCTAATATTTTTTTTTAAATATTTTTATTTTTTGGAAAAAGAAAATAAGAAAATAAGAATTGTTCTTTTTTACCAAAAAATATTATCTTTTAAACAATATATTATATTTGTTCAAAAACTTTTACTTGATGTATAAATATATTAAATTAATTAAAAAAATTGAATTATTTATTAATATAACAATATTAAAAAATTGTAGATCACAATTTATTTTGTTAACATTTTAAAGAGAACTTTAAAAGATATGTATTTATTTGAACAACATAAAATAAGAAGTGTTACCTTTTTTACAAACAAAATATATCTCGAAAGTAATGTTTCATATTTATTTAAGAAATATTTTACTCTAGAATATTTAATTTGCATACAACTTAATAAGGAAAAAGTCAAAAAAATTAAATATTTTTTTAGATCATAGCAATGAAGAATGAAAATCACTAATAATAATTTGAAATATGTTTTTATTTTTATTTTAGTTAAGTCATCAAAATGATGTGTCATCCACATCACCTCATTAAAACCACATAAACAAAAAAGTCAAATGGTTAACCGGTTTAAAAGATAACAGGTTATCCATTGCTATTATGGGTAGATTTTTTAAAGTATGATGCCTTAATAAAAATTAATTTGAATGTACATTGCTGTAATAAGAAAAACAAAAGTAGACTGTTATAATAAGAAAATTTATGAAAGTAGGTTGTTATTTCATGCATTTAGCCTTCAAGGTCGGTTATCGTTTTTCTATAATATTTTATTTAATTTTCAATTTACATTTTCTCACCATGTTTTTTTTGTAACCAACCAGATCTGGATTTTGGAGAAATTTCCCGGAGCCAAATTTTTTCCCCCCGTATAATATGTCAATCCCAAAGGCTATTAGATGAAAACGAAAAAAAATGATGAAATGAGACGAGAGTTGCGAGTTCGCAACTTTTGACAAGATTTGGTTTCATTTATTATAAATTTAAAATTTATCCGTTTTAGTTTTGTTATTTATGTTTAAAAAAACATTATACTGATTTACATATTATTAGAACGTGTTTCGCCCCCTTACCTCGTTGGTGACGAAAATTTAGAGAAGTCGACTCAATGGTGGATCGAAAGCAGGGATTTTTTGATGAATAATTGTTACGGACAGCCGAACTCAGATCAAAGGGATGAGTCACAAATCAGATGATGACGATGATGATGACGACGACGTCCAACCATCGAAAGCACGTCAATCATTTGTAGCGCACACTTCTCATAGACCATGGTATGAGCCACAACGGTACCAAGACTTGGCCTGGGTTCATTATACCTACCCCCTTTTTAAAGAACTTGATTTAAATTCATCTACGACATATGCCGACATCCCCTAATGGCATGTTGAATTTAACCAATTCAATGTTGGGGTCGATCAAAGTATCGCGTCAGTTACAGACCTTATTAACGAAAATGGGAGAATGATGTGCCAATACCAGTACCTAAGGTTGATCCTTCACCATACACGTCTCTGCAGGGTAATTATGTAAGTATGTTTAATTTTCTTGATATTTTTACTTTACAAGTAACAACTAAGCAAACATTTAATTTATATTAGATTGTGCGTATGCAGTTTATGGCGCAGCAGTACTCACCGAGGATGCGGTAAATATGTTTAAGATTTTAATGTTTTTACTTTACAAGTTAACATTATATGAAAAACTTTTTAATTTATATTGGATTATGCGTACATAGTTTATGTCGCAACCATACTTTTTTGTGGATATAATAAATATGTTAAAGTTTCTTAATGTTTTTATTTACCACAACAACAATTTCATATGATTTTTTTTAATTTATAGTGGATTGTGTTTACACAATTTATGCCGCAACCTTACTTTTTTGAGGATACGGTAAATATGTTAAAGTTTCTTAATGTTTTTATTTATCAAGTTAACAATTAAATTAGATAAACTTTTTAATTTATCTTGGATTGTGTGTTTGCAGTTTATGTCGCAATAAGAACTTGTAATGGATGCTTTGACATCTATATCATCAAGGGTCCTGTTTGTAAAGCCACAAGAAGAAGTTTGTTTTCCCG